CACGCGGGCCAGTCCGGCGAGAGGCCGCTACAACGTAGGTAACTGTCCGGTTTTATCTATGTAAATAAATAAAGTAAAAATGAATCAATGTTTATCTTACCTCTGTGTTAATAGTAACTGTATCTGATTTATCATAAATCGGAGCAAGAAACCATATAATAATATATAAGCTCAAAGCGAACCAATTTGGTTTAAAAATATCATCTGTGGATGATCCAGATCGAGTAGAGTCACTAATTTTCTTTCTGTAAAGGCGATATGTGCTCATTAATGATTCTCGCTTTTTTTTAAATCCTCACTTGAGAAATTCATTCCCATATTCTGTTGAATGGTGCGCCATGCATCAGCTAATACATTTTTATTCTTATGATCCTTTGCGTCCCATATTATTGGATGTGCTTGATAAAGTTCAATAAATTCTATGACTTTTTTAATCGTCCATGCCGGTGGCGATTTTGTGGATGAGGAAGCCATTCTCGCTCGACGTACGCACTTGCTGCGTGTTGCAACAGAACTGAGCAAAGTGCCAACGTGTGGACAGATCGCGAGCGTAGGCGCAGATTCCTTTGATGAAACCGACACGAGCCGGCCAACTACCAACGCTCGCCACAACGTTGGGACCAATGCCATTTTCTAGATCCACACGTTGGATGAGTAGCGTTGGGACCTATATTGGGGCCAACGTGTGGAGCCGGCGTATTGCCAAATCAAATGGAAAAATTGTTCAGTCTATGTGTGAGTGCGCTGCTGTGTCTATGTGTGAGTGTAATGAACATAGATGTTTGTTCTGTGTTTGTATGTATTTACATTTTAATTTCAGAAAATTAGTTTTAAATTATCTCTAGTATGTACCCACTCAAACTAGACAATGCTAATTTAGATGATTCTAATACGAGTATGTATAAAGATGTAACTGTTAATAATCTTGTATTGTATGAAATATTTGCTAGAACTATTATACATTGTTTTGAGCGATAAATAATTTTGGATTTCTGTGCAGTTCCCCACAACGGTATACGGTTAACGCTTGCCATGCAAAGGGCATTACTCTTAAATGTTGCCGAACCTGGGACACTCATGAGGTGGGTTCTACTAACAACAAGGAGCCCTTTACCTCTACAACTTATTCACACAACGGATATACCATATAGCTATTTGGAAAAAGTTTTCTGTAAGGTGGAGGCAACCAATTATTGTGTCTCAAGAACCATTCTCCAGCTTGGGTAGCTCAAATTCAATCAGGAATCTTGCTGTATCCTACCCATTATCTTGTTTGTGTTTCTTTCATGCTTGAAAATGTTGGGCACAACTTATGTCTATCGATCTGAGTGTTTAATTTGTATTTCATCAATACTAATTTTATATCTATGGCCATCTCATGAAATAAATTATTTACAGATGTCATCCATGAATGAAGTTTGTGAAGTTTGCTGAGACAAAGCTCGAGATTTGAGCTTACATGTACCAGAAGGACCACAAGAAAGATCCCAGCATATTGTGTTGCCCAATATAGGAATTTTTGCTTTCATGCAATATATACACTAGAAGTACTTATCTAGAGAGAGAATAGATGCTTTGGAGAGAATAAACCCAATCTTGCTTCATGCTAAAATTAAGTCCCGCCATTTTTCCACTAAAACTTTGTATTTATAGTTGCAGAACCAATCATGATTGGGCGGGACGTAATCAGAAGTTATTGCTGTAACTGCATTGTAGGCGTGGAATGCTACTCACATGTTATGAGTATTATTTGGTACCTAAGCCATGCTCGCCATGAAGATATTACCCGGCCTGCCCCCATCTTAGATGAAGTTTTATTAAGAATTAATTAATTATAAGTACAATAAAATAAATGAACTTAAAAAACATAGTATTTTATATTTACCTACACTCAAAACCCCATCAGAACTTTATCATTATCAAATGTTGCAGTCCGCTGCTGAATATAGGTATCTCCTAATTCAAAACGCTGAGTAGATACCGATCCTCATCTCAATCTACCTACTTAATGGTAGAACCACGCTGTAGCTATAATATAGTTGTAGCACGAATGACTGCTCGACCGGGGAAGAACCACGCTCTCACAGAATACCAGTGTAAAATACAGTTTAATACTGCTGTGTATCGTATGGTGAGTGTAGAGATCCGGAGACCCTTTTTACTGGAAACAAGGCATTCGATCCTAGTCTTCAGAGGTGACAACGCATCTGAATTTTGATTCTAAAACGAGGATAAATGTAGATGTCCATGGGCCACAACATCCACTAACCATCAGGTGGACTCTGTTCGATTGCCATTTTTTCAAGTTTCCTTAGTACTCGTAGTACGGGGATAGAGACCGTATCGAATGCTTTCGCAAAGTCCAGAAAAATCCCTACCGTTTTATTGCCTTTGTCTAGATTTTTGATGATTTTATCGGATAATTCGTGTACTGCATCATTGGTAGATTTTCCAGATCTAAACCCGAATTGACAGTTTGATAGAATATTAAAATTCTTTAGGTATTTTACAAGTCTGATGTCAATTAGGTGTTCCAATACTTTTGATATAGACGGAAGTATAGAAATAGACCTATAATTATCCACACGGTCTCTATCTACAGCTTTATATTATATGGGGTGAATTATGGATTTTTTTAAATAATTAGGGAATATTCCGTTCGCGAAACATAAATTAAAGATATAAGTTAATGGTGGGATTAGGATATGTCGAAAAGTTTTTAGAAAGTTATTAGAGATTTTATCCCAACCAACACAACTGTACCTACATTTTGTTTTTAAATTTATTATAATACGTTCTACTTCGTCCACATCAGTAGATAATAATACAAACGATTCGATTCAAATAAATGACTTAGAAATTGATTATTGAAGTTTACGTATTTTAGTACGGAACGTCTGTGATTTCTGATTCGCCTATGACGTCATTTGACCTATCCGAGATCGCCGCACCATGAATCATTCAAGTCATTTTTTTATAGAAGAGGGGGCAAATGAGCATGCGGCTCACCTGATATTAAGTGACTACCGCCGCCCGTGATCAACCGCAACACGAGGGAATTGAAGGTGCGTTGCCGGCCCTTTAGAAAGAAGGAAGCTCTCTTCTTGAAGGTCCCCAGGTCGCATCGGTCCGGAAAAATCGCTGGTGGTAAACTATTCCACAGAGAGGTCGTACGTGGAAGAAAACTCTTTGTGAAACCTACAGTGGTGAACCGCCAAGCATCCAGATGGTGTGGATGGTATCGGGATGTTGGCCGCGTAGTGCGTTCGTGAAATTTGGCGGCTGGGATTAATCCGAACAATTCCTCTGAGCACTCCCCGTGGCATATGCGAAAGAAAATGCAAACAGATGAAACATCTCTTCGCAGCGCCAGTGAATCGAACCGATCGGAAAGCACTCGGTCGTCGACGATTCGAGCCGCTCTGCGCTGGATGCGGTTAAGTGGAAGGAGCTGGTACTGGGAAGCTTCAGCTCAGAGATGGGAACAGTATTCCATGTGCGGCCGAACCTGTGCCTTGTAAAGTTGCAGGCGGTGTGCCGGCAAAAAATACTGTCCTGCCCTGCTGAGCACGCCAAGCTTTTTAGATGCTAATTTGGCCTTCTCTCCCCGAGTGACCACGAAAATGCACGTCACTCGATATGTCGACGCCAAGGATTCCGATACTGGCTGAGGCAACGAGGGGAGTGCCTTGAAACTGGGTAAATACGACAAAGGGGTTCTTTTTAGCGGTTAACGCGCAAACTTGTGTCATCTGAGAGCTAAACTGAACTAGATTTAGTAGCCTCGCCCCCAATCCGAGACTCTGTTCAGCAAAGACTCGACTTCAGACACAAGTTTGTCTCGGTACTCGGAGATAATTTCCTGGAGAAACATTGGCACGGTCGGTGTACAGAGCATCACCAGTGCTGTCATCTGCATAGCAATGAATGTTACGGGTTTGCAACATATCATTGATATGCAGAAGACAGCGTTGGCGATAGCACGCAGCCTTGTAGAACACCAGCATACATAGGCTTGTGATCGGAGCTCGCACCGTCTACAACGCTTTGTGCCAAACCCGATCGAAGGCCTTCGCAATGTCCAAAATAACGGCCAATGCCTCCCCCTTGGACTCTACTGCCTCCGCCCATCTATGAGTTAGGCAGACCAGAAGATCACCAGCTGATCCACTACGGCGAAAACCGTATTGGCGATCACTTATCAGCTGGTGATCCTCAGGGTACCTCATGAGCTAGCAGTTTACAATGGACTCCATTGTTTTGGAAAACAAGGAGGTGATGGCGATAGGCCCTGTATTTGGACGGGTCTGAGCGGTCACCCTTTTTAGGGATCAGGTGGTCGAAAGCCGTCTTCCATGATTTTAGGACTACGCCTAGGGAGTAGGAGTACCGAAACAGACGCGAAAACCGGTGCCAACTCTGGAACACACGTCCTCAGCACAATTGGGGGGATTCCGTCAGGCTCACTCGACTTGTGTATGTCCAGGGAGAGGTGTGCTTTGTGAACCGAGCGCTGTGTTAACTGCACTTCCGGCATGGAGCACTCACACCGCGGGATGGTCGGCGGTGTACTCCCCCCGTCATTGAGAGTCGAGTTGGACGCAAAGAAAGAGCCTATCAGATCGGCTTTCTGCTTTGCGACGATGTTGACCAAAGAATACTTGATTATCTCAAAGAGAACAAATATCCTAATCCAATAAAAAGAGCTAAGAACACCAAAGTAACTGTGCCAAGTGGTAAATCAGTAAGCAGCGTTGATATATCTAGTACCATCAATCAAAAAGCCACCATAAACAGGAGGACAACTGTAAAAAAATCTCTAGCAACTGTAACTGAACGAATACAAGATCAAAGCTCTGAAACAAAACAAAGTAAAATAGAACTCCAACCAACCAAACTTTGAGCAAGAAAGTATACAATAAACAGAAGCCACTTCGGAAAAAAAACGTGTTGTAAGTATTTCAGACTCAGAATCAAGTTTCGTAATACCTTCTAGTGATATGTCAGAGTATGATCCTAAATGTGACAAAGATGAAGACACAGAAAATGAAACAAATGGAAGTGTCAAGAGTTACGAAAACTTAAAAACTAAAGTGACCATATTATCTGATATAAAAAATACAGCTGACAATCAGGCATATTTCGATTTGAGCAAATATGGTCCATTTGAACTTAAACCTATAAATACTCTATGTAAAGTGAAAACCAAAGCTGATAGGGTTGGAAGAATAAAAAAAGAAAGCTCAAAAATGATGACACTAAACCAAGAATGCCAAAATTGACATCTCAAAAAATGACAACCAACAATGAAACAGGTGCAGGTTGTAGCAATCTCTAGTATATAGGCAGTCTCTAGTATAAATATAGTAATCTATGATAGTAATCTATTTGTAGCAAGGAGCCTGAGAAAAATACTTCGATGTCATATAATATTAATGATTATATATTAGTGCGATACATGCTGGAAAAGAAAGTTCAATATTTTGTTGGCAAAATTTATGCAAAACTAGAAAATAGAAACCAAGTTTCTTATTTAAAGCAACCACTGGAAGAAGCGATAATACAAAATTTATTCAACCAAAGAAAGAAGACATTGATACTATAAATGAAGAAATGATTGTGAAAGAAGTGCAGCTGATGAGTACAAAAATGAACAAGAGACTGAATTTGTATTTTTAGAGAATGATGATTATGTGTGATTATTTTCTTTCAAACTAATTAACTTGTGCCATTCCAAAGAATTAAGTTTCGTTAAATAAGTTAGCTTTTTCTTAGTGTTTTCTTTTATAATAATTAACTTGTGCGAATCCAAAGAATTAAGTTTCGTTAGTAAGTGAGTATAAATGAACAAAAGACTGAATTCGCATTTTTAGAGGATGATTATGTGTATTTTGATTACTGATTCTGGTAGGTAGGTAGTTCGTAAGACATTTACCTAAGTGTTTTCGTTCATACTTATTAGGTTGTGCCATTCGAAAGAATTAAGTTTCGATAATAAGTAAGTATAAATGAAGAAGAGACTGAATTTGTAAGACGTTTAAGTGTTTTTTTTTCATACTAAATAATTTGTACCATTCCAAAGAATTAAGTTTCGTTAAATAAGTTAGCAACTATAATGCCATACTAGGTATTACTTTAATGTTAACATTTCAGAAAAGTTTTATTCTATTTTTGGTAGGTAGATAATTGATGAATGCTTGAATTTGCACGTTTCGAAACAATTTTATGTTTTACAGAGTTTATATAATTTTTGTTACTTAAATACTATTTTGATTGATCTTTAATGAATAACATATCCATTAATTATATTTCTTTGATTTTATAACTTAAGTAAATTGACAAACCTGGCGACTTCTGCTTGCTTCTATGACAATTTCAAAAATCTAAGGGAAACTTTAACGTAATGTTACTAGATGCAAAAATGAACAGTAAAAATCTTCTATGTCAGCAATATCGTTATTTTTGCTCAAGAAATTACGGTAACATTACGTTGCCTAACCTCTTTTATGGATTATTCTATGTTAACTATTGATTAGGTAAAGTTGCAAAAAACGAGTCAACTTTACCTAGATCACAAAAAATTATATTTTAATGAGTATATGTCCTATTTAGATGAGTTCGACGGGTTAACTAATATAGACGCGTTTGCTTTACAGATTGAATCAATATAAATCAAAGTAACGTGTTCTATGTATCTATTGTTTGCTAAAATGTCGAAAATATGGTAATGTTGCCACAGTTGACGGTATGTTACTATATTCTTTTCATTTGTTTCAGAATCGCGCCAGGGCTCCTATATATTAAGAGCTCTTGCTTCGTTCGTGTTTATTTACGTACAGTCGTTTGTTTCCTTTTTATTTATGAGTGTTTAGTTTTTATTTCACTATGATGGTAGAAGATTTGTCAAAGGACAAAGTGATAATTTGCCGAATGTTGATACACAATTTACACAGACAGTCATGGACTTTTTTCTTTAAATCCGTCTTATGTTAGTGTTGAAACAAAAGTGGCTAAACTTATTGGGTAAGTGTATACTTTTGATTTCATCACGCACATTTTTGTTTTAAATAAAAATGTAATTTTTTTAATCGCCGTAGCAAATTAGTATTATAAAAAACTTTATTTATTTTTATAAAACTATTGATTTCAATTAAAATTGAAAAGATCTTATAACATCTAATTATTAAAAACCGGTGTTGCCACCTTTTATATTAATTACACATCGACATCGATTGTTCATACTTAAGGCGCTACCCTGACCAAAACCTGGCAAAAGTGCGTTTTTCAGAGACTATTATCTCATTAGTTATGAGAAATAAGCTACATCTAAAAGCACATTATTAATGTTCGATATCCTATCATCACATTCCACGTTCTAATTTGTTTTTATGTGTTATGAATACATTTAAAATCTACTTTTAAAAAATGACTAAAATTATTGATTACATGCATCTGTTGCCAAAGGAAATGCTCTAATCATTTGAGAATTACACTAATGGATAGATAATTTAAAAAATCTATATTCTACACGTTTTATTTAATTTCTTAAGTTCGCTTATCTCTTTTAATTGAAATAATTCCAAATATTCGGGCGTATTTTTCCGTGATATATTGTGGCGAGAGCGCGTGGATTGTATGGGACCGAACGCTCAAGCTCTCTCGCTAGGGGAACCGTCTTAAGATTAAATTGTCGATGTCTTGCTGCGGTAAGAGGTCCCATATTCTTTGCAAGTGGTCGTAAAGTTGTTGTTCCGTAGACAAATTTGGTGGGAAATCTTTCAAAGCTTTTATAGTTCATAAAAGATAACTTGATCTCCGCGACAGCTGTCAGTGAAAGCAAAAAATACTAAATTAAAAATGAAGTCTGCCCTATACCAATATTTGTGGGTTCGTGATGGTAAAATATTCGTCAGGAAAAACGATACCACTCACTCTTTACGTATTAAAGACAGCTCGGATATTTTAAAAATTGTTTGACTATTTGTAAGTTTTAATCTAATCGTAATTTGCATCTACCAGTACTTATATATTATATGTAAACATACTGTGTTGTGCACAAAGTTAGGCTATATTTATCTAGGTAAGCATTATTATTTAGTTGTTATCAATAATATCAATATGTATGTATGTATAACAATAAGATTATATGTTTATTTATACGTATTATTGTGTAAAGTATTTTTTTCCTTTATTTATATAAAGTCCTTAATACGTTTGTATAAAACATGCCTCATAACGTTATTGTGTGTATTGCTACCTATATATAGGTGTATACAAAACATATTTTGTAAAACTCTTTTAACCAAGTATTATAATTTACCGCATCGTAGGAATCATATTGTCACTGCCGCCATATGTGTCCTCCGTATCCACCGTATCCATTCATATCCACGATTTGGCCGTCTTTAAGGTAATACGCTACTGTAATTGTTGTGAGGCTGTTACTTATTTATGCTGTATGCAAAAACTCACTCTTGGGTTTACTTTCACTGCTCACTATCTTTATTTACTGTTTGCGCCGTGCTGGTTGTACGGGAAGTTATTAAAAAAACTTTATAGATTCATATTCATTCCTTAATGGTGTCTATAGATAGGAAATTAAATACATTTTATCAGAACGTACGTGGTCTCCGTACAAAATGCCTTGACTTATATAATAATATACTATCGTGTAATTATAATGTTATACTCCTCACTGAAACTTGGTTGCAAGATGATATATTTGATAACGAATTATGTGATGGAAGGTTTGATATATTCCGTTGTGACAGGGACTTGGTGGCTACGGATAAGAGTTCAGGTGGAGGTGTAATGATTTGTACCCGTCGTGAACTAGGTGCGACTAAGCGTGTAGATTGGAGTTGTAATTATATTGAATCTATATGTGTCAGCTTACCAGCCCGATCTCTCAGCTCACAATACAACTTAAATATTATACTAGTTTACATTGTTTGTAAAGGAGCTTGGCAGGTATACTCGTATCTCAAACTACGACACTAATAAAAACCTCTTATTAATCGGCGATTCCAACATTGACCTAAAAACCATTTCATCTTACAGGGACACTTATTTGCAAACACTCAGCGAGCGCGGATTAATGTGCGGAATCTCAAACTATACTAGAATTGAAACAAGAAAAAATAAAGTCACTAAATCTTGCATTGATCACATATTTGCGAGGTTCCCCACATGAGATCCGTACTCAGCTGTGTTGGACGTTGCATTGGCTGACCATCGGGGCATAGTATTTACGTGTCTTGACGACTCGCCACCTACAAGATGCGTGCAGAATGTAACACAAAAAACTACTTTTGATCATACCATTTTTAGTAATGCGGTGAGTATTACAGATTGGAAACAGACAAATAACATGAGTTCGTCAAATGATATACTTTCATTTATAAAAAAAATCGTTCCTAACAGCTATAAAGACTGCGATTATTAGTAGGTCTGTTAGGTATTCTAAAAATCGTAGGAATCTGCCTATAGCCCCTTGGATCAATGGTAATGTTACCCGATTATGTGAAAAAAGGGACTATTTATTTAAGCTTTGGAAAAATAGCTCTTTTGATCCTAAAATAAGACTAGAATATAATAAAACTAGAAATAAACTCAATAAACTAATAGAATCAAAACGAAATACATACTAAGTTAATAAAGTATTAAAAATCTAAGTAAAGTAATCTTAATGAAATACATAATAAGTTTAAAGATACAAAAAAAGTTTATAAAATCATTAACCAGATGTTAGGACGAGTAACATTATCCATTGACGAGGCGATACTGAAGGCTTTTGACGGACAGGGCCTTACCACGAAAGCGATAGCTAACAACTTCGCAAACAGCTTTGAAAAGGCAGTTAAAGACATTGTTCCTCAATGCAGCTTAAAATTAACCAAACCACTAACTTATCAGAGACCGGTGGATTCAAGTATTTTGTTCAAAAAAGTTTCTCAGAACAATTTTAACGAAATTATTAAGAGACTGAACTCACATAAGGCTCCTGGACCTGATGGTATTAGAGTAGCTGATCTAAAAATTGTTGATAAACATATATCCTTACCCATTGCCAATTTAATTAACTGCAGTATTGCGTCTGGAGAATATCCCGACGACCTCAAAATAGGCTGTGTGAGACCTGTTTTCAAAAAGGGCAAACACGATGATTACTCTAACTATCGACCAATCACTCTGCTTTCTAATATTGATAAAATAGTTGAAAAAGCTATCTGTGAGCAGATTCATAATTTTTACCGCAAGCACGAAGTAATAAACAAAAAAC